AAAAAAAAAAGACTTTGGGGTCAGAAGAGAAGAAGCAGGAAAGGGGAGCACGTGGCTGAACCTCTATCATCCTATGTCACCTCAGTGTCCCTTTTCCCCCAGAAGGTACCCTTGCCATGTGATCTAACCTGAATCCATCTTGTGCTTTGGGACCGGGAGCTACATTTGGAAGCAGAGCCAGAGCGAGTTGCCAGCCACTAACTAATTCTCCTGGACTTCTTCCCCCAAGTCCTAGATTTAACACAATTTTATATTAGCTGATTTTTGTGGCTAAATATTTAATCACTTTACCCATGTGATGTTTATTTGATTCATTAGTTTTGTCCACCAACATCTCCTGCAGTGGTTGGTGGTTTGTGCTTCCAATGCAACGCCAGCATTTCCCTGCTACCGTGTGACCTTCCATATTTCTGAGCCTCTTCTGCATATGGGCATCAGAAGAGGTGAAGTTTCTGTAAATATTTCCTCTGCTAACGTAGGGATTCCAAGGTAGGGGTAATTTTATTTCCTCATCTGCTCAAGAAGAAAGTGATATTAGATCCAAGAAATACGTTACTGCAGTAATGATACACGCTTTCAGGAAAAATAGATCCAAAATGTTTTCCGAGTTAGAAAATGGTGTGATCTCCTTTCATCATCTACTCTAGATAAAGCCTCTATCACATGCTGTGAAATAAGATAGTCATGAGTGAATGATCGTGGACAGCTGGAGTTTTCTCCTTCTGTCCGTCCAGTCCTGGCTCCCGCACTGGATGCAGGCTTTGTGAGTGTCCTTCCCTGTGCCCCGGGCCCTGGGCTGTGTACTGAAGGTTCACTTTCAGGAACAAGTTAATCCAGGTTCTGGCTTTTGAGGAGATTTGCTACAGAGGAATACAATGAACAGATGGAAAAAGTGGTCCTTGGAGAAAAGAATACAGGACACTAGAGAGCAGAATGAGGCTACAGATGGACAGATCAGGGGGCAGTGTCTCATACGCCACTCAGGGCAGCTTGAGGGAGGAGAGGCCACTTTAGCTGAGACTTGGATGAGTGGACACGACATCCAAGGGCTGAATTGGGGGAGTGACCTACACAGAGGGAAGAGCAACTGCAGAGACCTGAAGGCAGGGGGTCATTGCCCGGCTCAAGACCAAGAGAGGGGCCAAGAGAAAGGTAAGGCAGAATCAGGTGATAGAAAGGCCAACCAAGGTCAATTAGGAACAAGGAAAACAGACTTGACTCAGGAGCTAGAAATCAATCCATAAATGAAAGTGCCAGAGTGATGAGCCAAAATGACCCATGAACACTTTGTTTTCTCTCTGGATTACGGGCAGCATGGTGTTTTTCATCATTCTGCTGAGGCATAAGATGCCAAGAACAAAACCGGCTTAGGAGGCGACAGAAAGCGGAAGCAGGTGTTCTCTGTAACTTCAGCAGCTGCCAGTTCTGAAGTCCTGAAGTACAAAGCCAAGCTAAAGTCATTGACAAGAAATGGGACACTGTCTCCTTGCCCAGGACTTCATGGGACTCTTCCTGATTCCCCAGTCTTTATGCACCTTCCCTGTCACCTGCGGAGCCAGAGACGCCCTCAGAGGTTTCATTCATGTAAAAAAAAAAAAATGCCCCACATCAGGTGGGCCCCCCCCCCACACTAGAGACTGATTTATCTTCAGGGGTTACCTAGACATCTCCTTGAGATCAAATGATTCTAGTGAATCCAATAGCAGTGACTTAGCCCAGAAAAGAATCAGTGGAAAACCAGTGCTTAGAGGGAAGAGAAGGAGACCCACCAGTTCAGAATACCTTGCATTCTCTCACTCCACAGGGACTCTGAGGTTCAGAAGTTCAGAAACTGGAGATGTTTCCTATCCTTCAGAATCTCCCGTGTGTGACAGGTATTTATAGAGGACCTGCTGTGATCATCTGCAGACATACATCACTCACAGATTCCATCCGGTGATCTGGTGTCTTTGCTGAGGAACAAACAACGTGGTGATGAAGAGGGGTATTTGACCTGATTTCAGGTTTCTAGAAGACCTCAGACATGACAAATTTGGGGCATTGGAAAGCTCTTGCCACTCTGATGGAAGTAGCTTCTTTGAGAGCCTGTCTTTTTCAGTGATTAGTGAACTGGTACAAAATCCTGTTAAAGAAGGTTTTTGAAAATTATATGAACATTAAGTTCACTTTTAATTTTTTGTATTTGTTCTAATGAGCTCTGCATGACAGTAGAATGCATTTTGACACACCATACATAAATGGAGTATAACATCTGATTCTTCTGGCTGTACATGATGTAGTTACACAGGTCCTGTAATCACATATGCACATGGGGTAATAATGTCTGATTCATTCTACTATCAATCTTACGCCCATTCCTCTTCCCCTCCCTTCACTCCCCTCTATCTAGTCCAGAGTATGTCTATTCATCCTTCACCCCTTATTATTCTTATTATGAATTAGCATCCACATATCAGAGAAAACATTTGGCTTTTGGTTTTGGGGGATTGGCTTATTTCTCTTAGCATGATATTCCCTAGTTCCATCCACTTACCAGCAAATGCCATAATTTCATTTTTCTTTATGGCTGAGTGATATTCCACTGTGTATATATACCACATTTTCTTTATCCATTCATGTGTTGAAGGGCACATAGGTTGGTTCCATAGTCTAGCTACTGTGAATTGAGCTGCTATAAACATTAATGTGGATACATCACTGTAGCATGCTCCAGTTTATTTTTACATTCTATGTTTCAGATATGCATCTGTTCCACACTATTTTGGGGAAAAATATCCCCCATTCCTTTTTTCATGATGTCTCTTTCCACTGTTGGGGGAATTTAAACTCTGGTGTCTTCCCATTGGTAAACTCTTGTCTCCTTGAGCAAGATCACAAGACTAGAAGTGGGGCTGGGAGACAGATGCCTACCCCAGACATAAATTTTGGGAGAAGCCCCTAATATTGTAGACATCTTGGTTGACCACGAGATATCATTATTCAAATCACTGAGTTCTTTCTTAAATCAGGGGTTGCCCTTGCCTGGGATCTAACCTGGTCCTGGGATTTTAAGACCGTGTTTCTGAGTGTTCAGTCCACATCCCAAGACTCCAGTGCATTCCTGCTCAGCGCCTGGGACCTGTGAGAATCCTGAGAAAGACTGAAATTCCCCTCTTTGCAAGAGTGCGCGTGAAGATATAACACTTGAGATTAGATGAAGGGAAGTCTGTAATCACCCCCTGACTTAGCCAGCTTTTTTGCTGCTGTGACAAAAAAGACCTGACAAGAACAATTTTCAGGAAGAAAAGTTTATTTGGGGGCTTACGGTTTCAGAGGCCTCAGTCCACACATAGCTACCTCCATTCCTCAGTGCTGGGGACGAGCAGGACATCCAGGTGGAAGCGTGTGGCTGGCAAAACCAGCTGGAAACCTGGTGATGGGAAGCAGAGAGAAACTCTCTTCCCCCCACACAAAAGATACATCCCAAAGGC